AATTAGATAAGAAAACATGGGATTGGTTGTTTTATACTTTGTATCTACTTAAAGAATTATATTCTAGAGAATGTCCCACTTAACGTGGAACCGGCCTCGAAGACATGCCGCAGTAGCAGTGAATGAACTACCGGGAAATGAGTTAGTCACGACGCGAAACAGCCGTCGTACGCTAGAACGTGGATTCCGATGTACGTGAGACTCTGTGTATCAGCCTATTGCAAACATTGGGCTCTGATTAAATACTTAAGTTGTTTAAAAACACCTCTCTGCTTTTCGATATTATTTGTCTGCTTTTTAATATATTTGTTCCACATTTTTCGATGCCATCAATCTAAAAATTTTGCGGTTAGTGTGAATTATTGTTTCATCGCTCTGTTCCACGACGTACGTTCTTTTACAATGAGATTCTTAATGCAACATACAATTTATTCTGTCCAGTAAATGTTCGGACCTCAACAACTATTATTTTGAATTCTTAAATATCTACTGTTTATAGGACTAGTGGTTTTGTCTACACAGAAAAGTAGCTCTGCTTCTAACGTGAAGGCCCAAGCGTCCAGTGGACGACCGTCATTGGTGGTTTTTATCTGGAGTGGCGTGTGTAGTGGGCTGCCTATTGATCTTGGGGTAGCACTCGACCACAGCTCTGGCCGGTTCGTGATAGCGTGCTTGTTCTAGAAGCTTTGTGTTCTCTTATACAGATTTTTACGTTCCTGTCGTGTGTAAGTGGTAGAAGAATGTACCACGCTATTATTTCATCGCAGGATTTGATTTCTGATCACTAGAATTTTCATATTTTTGTGTAAATCTTTGCGTTTATTTGTATGTTGTATGGAAATGACGAAGTTGGTTTAAGGGCTATAAAAATTGCACGGAACCTCATAAAACGATACATTTTTCTTCAGTCGAACAAACATAATTAAGCCTATAAAAATAATGTCCTAAATAATCTGAGACAATAAAATGATTTGAGCCTTTCTGTGTATATTCATTTTAAACCACATGAGTCCACATAAATTACATTTGTTAAAAAATAATAAGCTATCGTACACGTTATTTTATGCTTGATTAACTTTTCGCCAAAAATACTAGCAAGTAGGGTCTATTTTTTCAGTTACAGTTCACTAGTACCTTTTGCAACTAGAATTATAAGCTACAGGAATTTTTGGACTTCTGTTCAAGGTCCGCACATAATACTGAAGGAACTTTGCGTGACTTATGTAGTTAAGTGTCTTTTTCACTGCTGGCGTGATCTATGTAAGTTTCTGCGGGGTTTGGTGGTTTCCTTATGGTCAAAACCAAAACCAAAATATAGTAGTTAAAAAACACGAGTCCAGGACTTATGTCATTTTGATAGGAAATAGACGATAGATTGGGTTGCAGAAACAGCACAAAAAGGCTTTGACTGATATGATTCTTGTGTAAAACAATGCATTTTCCTGTGGTGATTGCCATAGTAACAGTAGTTAGCATCTCAGAAAGTGGACTTGTATGGTTGTGCAAATGACTGATTACATTTTATATCACATGATAAGAAGAGAAGAGCTGCAGATATACAAAATATTACCGATAATGCATTATTTACGGTTACTGACGATATAAATCGATTTCGACAAATGGGTTTTATTTGTTTATGGTTTAAATAGCTCAGACTAAGTTATAGGATTTGTGACGTAAAAAAATAGGATAACCAATGAATTATAAATGAAGTTCAGTGAGTCGTCTTGGCCTAATTTAACAAATTATGCCTGGATACTATGAAGACAATCATGAGAAAAACAGGAAAGCCGGGTTCCGAGCTAAGTTTCGAACCCGAGAGTTGCAGAGTACAAAGCACAAAATTTCAGTTCGATAAACCAAACACATAATACGATGAGCCGATTAAGTTTTAAGGTCACTTAACGACCCTGTTTCCTCTGCAGAGGTTACGCATTACAGGATGAAGGGCCACTGTAGTCACTCGGTTACACATTCGGTTAAGCTGGCACTAACTTATGGGCACTTCGTTATGACGCACTACGTTATAAAGCAAATTGTATAGCAGATGATGTAGTAAACTGTCTTTGTAATCGCAATTTCCGGGTCAGGTTTAAGGTAATCGTCGTTAATAAAAAATACCTGCCAACCTCATATTTAGGCATCAGTCTTGCCAACACCTTGAGAAGAATTACTCTGCTCAGTTTTAATGAAATCATTGCCACCTTCGCTTAATTTTACAGCGGTATGGGCGGTCTCTTGTGTGAGATAATTGAAACACGTGTCACACAAATGAAATTATCCCTTGCGTAATAAAGCGAAGATACCTTCTGCTGCCTGTTTTTAAACAGGCATAATGCTGTACATTGAGAGTAAAAATGACGGAGTTAATGAAAAAAAATGGTACAAGGTGTAATACAGTTACAATTTTGTGGAACAGGTGTTCAATGGAAGAGTAATGGTACCTTGAATCAACCGTTTCATTACCACAGCCATTTTTCATATCCCTGTTTCGACATCTTTTGATTTAATACTACTCAGAGTATTTTTTTTAATTCACTGTCTTCTGAGAATCCCTTTATTTATGATTAATAGGCCTGCAATTATTGATTTTCGTATTAAAATACGAACTAACTCTGTGGCAGTGTAATTCGAAGACTAAACACCACTGATAATGAATTCCAGTATTTGACGCGATCCTGAGATGGCTTCATTTCCATCAAATCCTTATTCATCTCCGTAAGATACAACTTAATGCTGTCTTTGTTTACCAATAAACCCTTTCCTCTACAAGGAATATCAATTCTTGCTAGTATCACCTTCAACTTAACATGAAATTCGGCACTTTCATATATCAGTTCTGTCCACATTTCACCCTCACAATTTATGTCCCATAGATCCATATTAATATGATACTGTTCTTTCACGATACCATTCACCACTGAACCCGGCGGTCGAGTGGTTAGTTTTTCTGGTTCGTATTTGGGACCTTCCGATATGTCTTTTCCTAATTTAGGGCAGGCAGTAGGTGGCGATTTGGCGTGGTGTTGTTCACACACCGTGGTATGCGACGTTTCTTGAAAAACTTATTGTTCCAAAGCTGCTTTTATAGAATGTGAGAGATAATTTTATTTATCTTAAAATACTTACCCAGGTAGATTAATGCGATTGGATTTTATTGGCCCAGGACAGGGACCGTTAGAGGGCTTTCGTTAATTCGGTTATGAACTTGGGGTTCCCTAAGCCAGTTAGTTAGTTATCTGAGCGTAATGTTAGCTTCTGAGGAAGGACTTAAAATAGTTAAAAATGTTTGATTAATAACACAGACTCTGATATTTTTCATGACTTAACTTTCTTAATTCTTAAGTCCAAAAATTCTCCTCAGTAATTTATTGTCAACCACCATTAATCTCTGGAAAATTGCACATCTGAAACGTCGATAAGTTTCTACCAGCAACACGGAGCAGCATCCCATAATGCTCGCCAGCCTTGAGAACCTCAAATAGCATCGTCATTCTTTGTTCTTCTCAGCAGAGGAAACAGAGTAATAAAATGACGGAACGACCAAGCCGACACGCAAAGTGATTTCGTTAAAGACGCGGCAGCCTGTATTTCGTGACGTCAGATGTTGGTTGCAATGTCGTAGGGGCATAGGTTCTTTGGATCAGTATGAGACCCTGGAGGTTTGCAGGGTGTAGGAGGAAAAGAGGGGAGTCTTTATGTGATGGATGAAGCGAAGTTTCCTAATGTGTTGACTGTGTTATAAAGACGCTTTCTGGCGCTCGTAATAAAGCATGGCTTTTTGCAGTAATTAATGCGCCACAGGGACGTAAGAGCCGACCACAATGTGTACCGTTTCTATGGCCGCCTTTGTTCTGATCTTTAAATGCACTGCCGCTGACTATAAGTCTCTGCATATTAAGAGAACGGCCATCTGAGGTCTGTCTGGTTGATTCTCTTTGTGTTTAATTCTTACCTCTGATTCAGGGGTGTTAAAAGTAGAAAGAATTAAATCTTTTATCAGAATTGAGTACTGTATATAAACTTGTAAAGTAAATTAGTTATGTGCCTGTGTTTCACTCTCTGTATGTGACATTATAAAACATTTTATGGGTATGTTCTTTATAGCTATTTATCATAATAACGTTACCGCGTAAATGATTATAATAATTAATAATAACAGAATAATTAATAAATGCGATGGAATCGAGAGGGATTGTATGGGTGGGATATGTAGTACGCATGGATGAGATGAGCGAAAAACCAGAAGGAGAGACGACGTCGGTGACCTGGACGTAGATTGGATGATAATATTAAAATTGTATTTAAAAGAGTTGGGACAGGCATTCAGAGGAAGCTATGTACTGACTTAATCATGCTAAGGATAGGGATTATTTTACAGATTTTTCTAAACAGTGTAATGAATATGCAGATTTGATAATATGTGAATAATGTCGCGATAGCTAATGGACTGTTAGCTTCTAGAGGTAGACTCTACTACATGGAAGCAGTTAATAAGAATGTTTATTAGGATTAAAATATCTGATTCGGGAAGTCCTGACTACAGTAGTGGAAGGAAGTGGTGATATTCTTTAGTCCAGGGACAAATGATACTTGGATCCTAAATGAGGTCTCTGTAACTTATTTTCACATACAAATTTGTCACGCGCATCGCTCCTGCCATTCAACACGATGTAGCGTGCATAACTGATTAAGTGTCATGGAATAATAGTAATATTGCTGGCGGATTCATCTTCGTCCAGACTAAATCTGGGGCCCACCCAGCCCCCCATCTAGTGGATACCTTGGGTCTTCTCCCCGCGGGTAAATCGACCGAAGCTTAGAGCTAACCTCCATCTGGTACCGGGGTCAGTAAAGAGTGGATAAAACCTCCATTACTCAAACGTCTCCATGACGTAGCGCATAATAAGTATAAAGAACGACGATTATAATAACACAAAATTGTAACTAATAAGACTCTAGGCAGAGGAACGTATTTTTCTCTTTTTCGGTTCATCAAGATCGGCTGTGTCGTTAACGAGGCTTCGTGTCTACTGGGTGCCTGAGGCTTTTTTCTTAGAGATGAGGTGACCGAACCGTGAAGCCGAACGCTCATCTCCTCCCAGGGCTGAGATCAAAAATACACGGAGTGGGAGAATAAGAAGAAGTTGGATATCGCAGTCAGCATACTGACTAAAATACAGGTTGGACAACCAAAGTTTGATTTCCGGCAGAGACAATTTTGTTCTTTGCTGCTGCGTCTAGAACGCCTCTGGTGCTAACCCAGCCTACCAATGGATACCTGGCCCCGAGGTGAAGCTGTCGGCCTCCATCGAGTTCGGCCAAGTATGTGTGGAAGACGTCCATTCACACATACGTCTTCGTGGCGTCTTTCTTATTATGTAAATGCCAGGAACATGAATGTGTGTATTCACTCCCACTACACACCCCCAACAGTGTGGTGTTTAGTTCCTGGGAAGACATTACCTTAATGATAATGATATAATACCCTACATGCAATTTGTAGGTATAATAAGCAAGTTGATAGCTTGGTTAACTGATAATCATTTGCAATTAAGGGACCTTAAGTCTTGCGGGATAATATTTAATGTTATTTTAACCGTACTATCATTCTTGGTGGCTACAGAGTGGACGACCGGGGTTCGGTTCCCGGCGTTCAGACCATCTTACCATCTTATCCATATTCTATTGAGGCCTTGTAATCGCGTTGGACGTGTTTATGGATTCGATTAAAAATAAATGTTTCTCTTGACTACAAAATAATATTATTAGGCCTCGTACTTATTGCTTTTATAACTTGTCTTGTCCTGTGATTCAATGGCATTCTATCTGTGATTTCCAGTTAGATTTTCTGCTAGTAGTGGGCCATGTAGGTTTATTGATTATTATATTATTTATCCGTCTTTTAATGTCGTTCTTTTATGTGCAGAGGCCGTATAGCTTTGAATGTTATCATCATCATTATCATCCACTTTCTTCTTAATTAATTTTTTTCTGTGAAGAATTTCTCCATGTCGTCATGATATCTTAGAGGAGGCAGTGAACAAGGCACGATCCCTCTGTGTATGATCATCTTCATTTAAATGAGAGAAAGTAATTAACTTTGAAAATTATGAAATTTCATAATTTTATTGTTTTATGAAAATTACTGATGAGCTTATCGGTTGTATAAATTATGGCGACTAAGCTAAAAACACTCTCGTGTACAATGCCCAAGGTTTAATAGGAATGAATTGGGCCTGTTGCAGTTAAAGTCATGTCTCACATTGGTCTGGATGTACCGAGGAAAATAACGTAAGACTTGTCAGGATAACCGGCAGTGAGGTCAAAATTAAAATCGGATATGTCACGAATACAAGTCAAGATCATTATCACAGAAAACATCTGCTCGGTTGAAAATTAAGAAAGTCGGTTGTCTTTATGTCGTTGTTCCACTCATGGATGCTGACTGCAAGATTTGAGTAAGCAGCAAATCACAGTCGTTACCTGCTTTGGCTGCTGAAAGAAGAGACATAAGCAGTTACACTCTGCGGTCGATAAACCTCTCCTCGCCTGTGGCTGGATTTGGCTTCTCCCTCGTCAGGTTTCTTCTCCTCAGTAAAGAATGCGAGATCTGTATGATAACACTGAAGCCACACCCTCGAGGATTCTGGTGATCAGGTGACTGCATTTCAATCAAACATTTTTGCATTCTTTCCAAGGAAATTCTATAGAGAATCTTTTAATTATTATTTTAAGAACAGTTTCATGGCTGACTGTCACATTACATAACGAAATTAAATATTCAGTAGTAGTTTATCTGTAAAAATAAGTGGGACTTTTCGATTTATTATGTTGCATGTGTTCAATACTGGATTATTTTTGTTTTATATAGGACTATTCTGCAGTCTAGAACAACCGTAAATCATAAACTAGAAATACGCATCAATATATGTAATGTATCCTTACATATTTATGAAATATACATACTTCATTAATGTCACGACACAGATTTTTATAAAATCAAAGAAAGGTGAAAAATTCCAACAGGAGGAAACAAGAAATAAGGATAATTAAAAAATTTTGCACCATAAATTAAGAATTGAGTTTCCTGAATAATTCCTCCCAATTGGAAACCTTGAGTTTGCTGAATAATTCCTCCCAATTGGAAACCTCAACTAATAATGAATATTTCTTATGGAATTTCTAGGTTAGTTGAATAAGATTTTATGTTCGTTCCTATCGAGATTTTAATCCTGGACATCCCGAATTCGAATCATCGGTACGAACCACTTATCCAAGACGTTCGGTGGAAATTCCATGGTTGCCTTAGTTACGTGGGGAATCCTCCATTATGACGCCATCTCCAATTCATAACAACTGTGATATTTTTGAGCCATTCGCAAAGTTAAACTTCTGGCAAACACATCAAGTCTTTAAGCTTTGTGTTTGTTTTCTGACTTACGTATTAGCGGTAATTCATGTAGAAAGTGAATAACAGCCTAGAAAAGTATGAAGAATAATTATCGTTTGTGTTTCGTCTTCATGTTCACTGTTTATTCAGGAGACTATCATTGCCTGCAAATTAACTTGGTCCTCAGTTCATGGGTCAGAAGTGTTGAGTGAGAGGTCGAAACGAGCAATTTTAAATCCACTTCATAATGGTAAGTATAGGTAATCCCAGGCCGTTAAACGCAACACGTTTGTCATGTGAGTGACGGGGCGTAGTATTCGCATCATCTGACCTCACACCCATCGCCCCACTTTTTACCACACCAAACGTCAATATGTTTCAACAGTTTGGCGGTCGGCATTACTGCGTAATAACGGCTTGTGGACACAGCGAAAACATTTACGTAATCAGAAACGACTGAATGGCTTTGGAGCAATAAAAATAATTCAGATGGGCAAACAGTTGCTGTATACTTTCTCTTGCACTGGTTGAATATGGTAGGAATGTTTGTTGTTTCGTACAATGCTCTAGGAAGTAAACAGTCGAACAAGTTAACTCTCGTAATAAAAACTCGAAGTTCGACATCTTTAACGCCAAAGCCAACCTCATGGAAATATTAAATAATTTTTATCTTTCAACTTACTTAAGACAAATTCCATGAGCAGATGTAAAATATACTTCCGCTCCGATGTGCATCTGAATACCGTTGTGTTCATTTAAGCAGAATGAAGTTACCTTTATTATTGTTTTGATTAAAGCCGAATAAATTTTATTTCACTATGACGCAGTCGTGTTACCAAATCGTGAAGGAGAAAACTAGATTTTGACTGACGCAAGTCAACTATTATTTACACTGTCTGCTCACTTGAATAACATGTTTCGAACGAATGTTGCCATCATCAGGTTAAATTTCCTGCTTCTGTATCATTGCACTAATGATGTCCTGAATGCAGTGACATAGAAGTAGGAACATAGTGACGGCAATATTTATTCGAAACATGTTCACATGAACGGACAGTGAACGCTGTGTGAAAAGTGACGCAGAATAAAACCAAGATTTAGACCTAACACACCCAGATTCTGCGCTACAGACTTGAAATTTAGAAAAGGAAGTTTCAGAGAATCTAATTCTGGGTCTTTGAGGTGATCCCTTTCAATATAGATTCGTTGTCGGAATTTTGATTGCATTTCTTGTCTCTCCACCCGAGATACGTTTTCGATTTGTTACAGTGTCTTCATTCTGACTACTTGAATGATTTTAGGACATCTATACAAAGCACGAGGAGGTTTGTCGTCTAAGGAATCTGTATAAATGTAAGACCTGCTGAGGAGACGTTAATATGTAGCTTATTTTCAGTATAGTTTTTGTGAGTTTACAAGGACTTTCATATATATTCATTCACAAAAAGAAGTGTGCTGACATGACATGTATCTGCAGGTTTTTGTGAAGACTCAGATTGAACTGAAGCGCCTCTATTCTGTCTGTGAACTAGCCTCAAACCCAGCCGTTATTACTCTTCTCACAGTGTTGTCTGTTAACTTGTATTAAATCAGCAAGATAGCAAGCAATGTCTGCCACCCGACTCGTCGAGATATGGAAATGTCAATATTTATAACGTCTTTAATATTTCTCTTTGGTTTTTGTTGTTTTGTAAGATCATTTCAGTTTCAGAAGAAAAGCTTTTTTGAAGGAAACGTTTTCCAAGAATGAATAGAATATGTTGTTCTTACATTTGTTTCAGCTTTGTAAAAGTCTTCTTTATGTGAAGCTATTCTATAATTGTTACCTTAAACCTCAAAATACGTCGTTGAATGAAGGTTTAAAACGACTGGATCCTGTACGTAATTTAATTTGCTTTCTAATGCGTCATAGTTAAGGTTAAATAACTTATGTTGTAAATTCTGACTTTTATGATACGCCACAATAGTACTTTTTCCTGGTATGTCAGTATATCCTCTGTGTTGTTGCCTTAAGTACTGCACTGCGGAGCAGGGAAAAGTAACACTGAAATTGGCTGTCTTCTGGGTTGTTGCGGCGTGTAGTCTGGTAGAAGTCTGGTAGAAATTTACCGACGTTTCAGAGGTCCTAGCTGCCTGTATAAGGAGGGCGATGAAACGTCTGTAAACTTCTACCAGACTGCACGGCGCAACAACCTAGAAGACAGCCATCTTAAGATTCACCGCAGTGAAAACCTCAAGTTTTACGAGACTGATACTGTTTTAAAAATATCTTTTCTCAGGTAGATGATCATCACGCGAAATTCTCTTTGCATGGGACGGAAACGATTGGGAAATACTTCCTGCTTCTGAAAACAATTTCTCTGGGAAGGGAAGTGTCACATCGGACTTGTTAACTTCGTCCTGTCGTGAAAGTTGACGTACTTTATGAGCAGACTTGTTTTAATTGTTTTAAGGTTACAGCCAAATTGTAGAACCGAATCAGTGAAGTTCGTATAGTGTATATTAAACGTCTAAACCTCCAAGAGCTCTCCTTGTGATTGACATGAAAACGAATTCCCTGATTAAACAATGACCTCTAATTAAACTTTCTATCAGGGGAGATTGTACGCCTGTATGGGCTTTTATATAGGATGAAATGTGTATGAAAACAACACAATAAAGGCTAATGATATTCGTAGATGGGACAGAA